CTTCCCAGGTGGCGCTAGTGGTAAAGAATCTGCTTGCCTACGCAGGAGATGTAAGAGACATGGGTTCAATCCCTGGGTCAGGAAGATGCCCTGAGGAAGGAAATGGCAACCCATTCCAGCACTCAGCTGCAGATCCCATGGACAGAGAAGCCTGGTGGCCTACACAAGCAGGAACACAGACTGATCTTAAAGTAAGTTAAAAACCAGGCTCAGTGTCTTAGTGTGAGAATATTTACTTTACTAAACACTCTGTATTTTTAAAAGTATTCTACTGTGAACAGTGGTCATTTACAAGAGAGGGGTTCCAGGTAAATTTATATTCTTAACACTACTGTGGATTTTCCAAATTTCCCGGTGAACACACTGAGCCTATGAAGAGACCCACCCAGTATTTTACACGCCCCTCACCTTGTCGTGCGGCTCGGTGCACAGAAATATCGTGGGGACAGCATCCTCTTTCAGCAGCTTGTTGTTGCACTCCCGCTTAAAGCAGTCCGGGGTGAAGTGCTCCGAGCAGATACTGCTATACTTCGTGGGCTTAAAGTTTTTCCTTCTGACGGCTGCCTCCCATTTCTTACAGAGACTGGGTCGAGTAAGAGGAAACCTAAGAAGACGAAATTAGTCCGTTTTCTAGCCTTACTCAGAAACAAAAAAGCACACCCAGGCTTTCCTTGCTTAGAAAAGAATTAGCTGACAACCACCGGTGTTCACACACCACGGGAGTGTGATTAATGCACCTGCTCCCACTAATCCTTTATTGACAGTTTGTCAGTTGTACCCTTATTACCCTAGTTGCTAAAGATGTACTTGTTTGGACATAGAGAACAGAGCTGAGGTTGCCAAGGGGGAGGGGAGTGGGGAAGAGTGGGATTGAGAGTTTGGGGTTACATATAGAGAATGGATAAACAACAAGGTCCTACTGTGTAGCACAGTGAACTACAGTCAAAATCCTGAGATAAGCCCAAATGAAAAAGAACATAAAAAAAAAATGCATACCTCTGTATAACTGAAACACTTTGGTATACAGCAGAAACCAAGAGAACGTTGTAAATCAAGTATATCTGGATAAAGTACGCTTTTTTAAAATGGGCTTGTTTTAAAAGTGACCATCACTAGTGTGAAAAATAAGTCACCCCTCCTAGCATAGTACTTTTTTTTTAAAGCAGCATTTCTTATAGGAATCTTACTGATCACAGACATAAGAATGTCAGATATAACGATGTATATAATCTAAACAGGCCAGGCTCATTAGGATTTACATTATGCAAAAAACATACATATTAAAAGGCAGCCACGTGGTCAGACGCATGCAGCTGGCAGAGCAGGTGATGGGAGGGTAGGTTCAAGGGCCCATTTGATATTTTTCCCTCCTTTGCAGTATAACCTTCACAAACAAACACATCTAATATACAAGGGTAAACCATATAGCTCTACCATCCAGCTATCTCAGTTTTTAAGGCTTAACTTTTTATACTGAAGACAATAAAATTTCGGGTAAAATACACAGGCTAGAGAGTGAATTTGTATTAATTATTGTTTTTTACCAGTGATCCTCTATGTACTGTAAAACAAAATTGCACGTTTATAACTACGTACTGAGACAAAGAAGCTTTTTGCTCTCTTGAGAATCATCTTGACAAATATGAATCAAATTATAGTCAAATCATAATGATAAGGAAATAAAGTATTCATTTTAATTTACCTCTTCATCAACTGAAATACACCCATTAGGCCCAGATAAAGGGAGATTTGAAGATTTGAAACTTATCTTGATTCTGTTTTTCCAGGTAAAAGATTCAGGGAGTGGGGGGATTGAAACAAAGGCAAAGATGGGTGATTCGACTGTCCCACAGCTTCTCCTCCAAGTGATACACGCTCGAGCCTGACTCCGCTGCGGTCGTCAATCTATCTTCAGGGTAGTCCCTTCTCTTTGCCAGAACATCTGTTCCCACTGCCACCATGGAGAAGCTGAGAAAAGAAGGACTCCTAGAAGGTTCCTGCTGGAAGTGCCTCTAGAAGTAGACACAGCAGCAACCACTGGTAAACTCAACACCCTGGGCCTCCTGACCAAGGATTACAATACAGCTTATTTCTGAGGTCAAGATCCTTCCCGAAACTGTTCTTTGAGATAAGGGATGAGATGCAGATTAGCCCTTCTTTCGGTCAAATCAATTATTTAACCGCAAGCAGAAACTCAGTATTTCTGAAATGTGTGAATGTCACCCTTAACCAGTGCCAATGAAGGGTCTTCTTTATGTCTGGATTCCCTCAGCCACCTCATTAGAAATGGGGAGGGAGGAGCTGAAAGCCTGTGATCATGTCACCATCTCCAGACCTGTTCCTTCACTTTGGAAGTCCTGGAGCTCCACCCAACAGCTTTCTGAAATTCTAATAAATCAAGAGGCAACATTAGGAAGCGTTAAGTGTTCTATCTGCTTCTTGGAAAAGGAAAAAAAATTAACATTCTGGAGACCTCTCTACACCCTACAAACTCTGATTTTTGTTTCTCATATTGAACGTATAAAAATGCACCCACATTCCCTGCTAAACATGGAAGGCCCTCACTCCCCCAAAATTTAAGATTTTGCTTTTTGTAATTATTTACCTATAAATGTGTGGATCACAACAAACTGTGGAAAATTTTCAAAGAGATGGGAATACCAGACCACCAGACTTTCCTGCCACCAGAGAAACCTGTATACAGGTCAAGAAGCAACAGTTAGAGCTGGACATGGAACAATTGACTGGTTCAAAACAGGAAAAGGAGTTACACTGTCACTCTGCTTATTTGACTTATTCACAGAATACGCATGCGAAATGTCAGGCTGGATGAACCACAAGCTGCAATCAAGATTGCCAGGAGAAATATCAACCTCAGATATGCAGATAATACCACCCTAATGGCAGAAAGCAAAGAGAACCTAAAGAGGCTTTTGAGGAATGTGAAAGAGGAGAGTGAAAATGCCAATTTAAAACTCAGCGTTCAAAAACTAAGATCACAGCATCTGGTCCCATCACTTCATGGCAAATAGATGAGGAAGAAAAAAAAAAGGAAATCATGGCAGATGTTATTTTCTTGGGCTCCAAAATCACTGTGGATGGTGACTGCAGCCATGAAATTAAAAGGTGCAAAAAAATAAATAAAATAAAAGATGCTTGCTCCCTGGAAGAAAAGCTATGACAAACCTAGACAGCATATAAAAAACCATGTCCATCCCTTTGCCGACAAAGGTCCGTCTAGTCAAACCTACGGTTTTTCTAGCAGTCATGTATGGATGTGAGAGTTGGACCATTAAGAAGGATGATCGCTAAAGAATTGATGCTTTTTAACTGTGGTGCTGGAGAAGACTCCTGAGAGTCCCTTGGACAAGGAGATCAAACCAGTCAATCGTAAAGGAAATCAACCCTCAATATTCATTGGAAGGTGCTGAAACTGACCAATACTTTGGTCACCTGATGTGAAGAGCTGACTCACTGGAAAAGACCCTGATGCTGGGAAAGATTGCGGGCAACAGGAGAGGGAGTGACAGCGGATAAGATGGTTGATTGGCATCACCCACTCGAAGGACATCAGTTTGAGCAAATTTGGGGAGGCAGTGAAGGGCAGGGAAGCCTGGCGCACGACGGTCCATGGGGTCGCAAAGAGTGGGACACTACTTAGCAACTTCACCACCACCTACAAATAATCTGTATAATCTACCACCGGTCCACCGGTTCTCCTTTAGCTATTACCGATTTACAGTCGGAAATTTTTGCAAGACACTTTTACAGTAATAGAATTTGTAAATATTGAATTTGATTGAAAATGGCATCGTGCGGACAACAGATCATCGTTATCATTCCGTTGTGCGGCTCTTCTCAGAGAGGCTTCTATTTTCTAGGGCTCTGGCCGCAGCAGCGTCCGGGAGCAGCAGCGCCGAGGGGGGGGCGCGCTCACCCTGACCCCGAGGGCTCCCCTCACCACTCAAGACGCACTGTCACTGCCCAGGCTACACTGCGCATCTTGGCAGTCCCTGAGGCTTTCTCCGGAGCTCAGCCGTCCTTAACAGTGGGGTCCCAGAAGCTGAGTCCAAGACATGCTCCCTGACACACCGACAGGTCAGTCCTCACCACACCGACGCCGGACCAACAGGGTGGGAAACGCGGGACTCTGCTTCTGCTTCAACTTCCCTTCCAAGAGTTACTACCACCTGCCGTCTCCGCGGCCCGGGTATGGAACCCTCACAACCAGCTGGGGTTCCACACAGCGCCCGCGAGCTTCGAACCCGCCACCCGGAGAGGCGCGCGAACCTGAGCGCGAGAGCGGGCCGCCGCGAGGGCGCGCGGCGGGGACGCGCAACCCGGCCCTGAGGAGGCTGCTTGGGGATACGCCCACTGCCCGGGCCCGCCCCTCTCAAGGTCTCGCGCGGAAATGCGCTAGGCTCCGCCCCCGAGCGCGGCCTCCGCACTGGGTCTCGCGCAGGCCTGCGCCTGGCTCCGCCCCTGAGCGCGCCCTTCGCACCGGGTCTCGCGCACGCCCCAGCCCCTCTCACAGGTCTCGCAAGGAAACGCGCCTGGCTCCGCCCCCCGAGCGCGGCCTCCGCACTGGGTCTCGCGCAGGCCCGCGCCCGGCCCCGCCCCTCTCACAGTTCTCGCGCGGAAACGCGCCTGGCTCCGCCCCCCCGAGCGCGGCCGCGCGCCCCTCGGCCCAACTAGGGCCCAGCCCCCCGAGGTGTGCAGGGTCCTTACTTGTGAAAAGAAACGGGTTTATCCTTGTCGTATCGGTTCTTGCAGCCGTAGGCGGAACAGGACTGTACCATCCTTCCGGTCCTCAGTTACTTCACTTCTGCCGCCCCAGCAGGCAGTTGAGGCTGTTATCAGTGTCGCCGCGCTCTGCTTTGACACCCTCGCTTCTTCTGTAGCTTTGGCCAACAGTCAGACTGACGAGGGCCTCACTCGGGAGTCAATAATGTGCCCGTTTTGTTGTTTGCATTAGCGGAAAGACCACAGCCATCGCCCGTCTCCCATCTCCAAGATGGCGGAGACAGCTTCAACCTCACCTCTCGCGAGGAGTACGTCCTACTGTTTCTGATTAGCCCTGAGGTCAGAGGTAACGTTCCTTGGGACGCAGGCCATTGGCTGAGGCCCGGCGTTGCGGAAGTGGGCGGGGTCCCGAGCTTCCGGAAGGAAGAAGGAACTAGCTGGGAGGAGGAGGGCGGGAGTGCAGGACCAGTCCGACCACTGCGATGCTTCTCCGGCTTGTGTATCCCGTGCGGCTGAGGTTGGAGAATTAGGTGAGACCAACCAAGTTGCGCCTGTCCAACTTGAAGCAGGACAGGCGCAAAGCTGAGGTGGTCCGGTAATTGGGTTCGTCTCTTTAAAACGGCAGCCACAGTTAGAGTGATTTGTAGGACTTGCTGGGCTCCTCTCCATCCCCGTACCTGCCTCTTTAGGTATTTGGAGCTCTGAGGAGCTCGGGGGCCAGAGCGCAACAGTAAAAGCGGACACCCTCACACACGCCAGGCCCAGTCTTCCCGGGAAGCCGAGACTAAGGGCTTGGCTGCTGTAGTAATCCTAGCAGTCCCCTGGTGCTGTGTTGGGAAAAAATCCGTCTCAGGAACGTTTTTCCTCCTCGGCTTGCTTCTTTCGTCGGTGTGGATGGCGAACTGTTGTCATCTCATGGCTCTCGGCTCTCTCTTTATTTTCAATCGGTGAGCAAGGCTAACATATCTTCATAGAGCAGCTTTTCTAGTGAGAAGGCAGACAATAAAAATGTAAATAAAATCATACTGTGCCGAGATGCCTGACTCTGAATACATTAGAATGCTGTAAGGCTAATAAGGGTAGAGGAGAGGGTCACTGCCTAATGTCTCAGAAGGGAACATTTAACCAAAGAATGGGGAAAAGTCTAGTAAGGAATGGCGGTGGGGAGAGCATTTCCGGCACAGGCAGTGGGTGCTAACTAAGGCGATCAGGCAGTAAACTTCTGTCTTTTCTGGGAACCGAATGGAGGCTCTGGGTAGAGCCCAGTGAGCCAGGGGAGAAAGGCATGAAGCGAGGGGAAGGCTAGTAAGTTGTTGGTCTGGATGGTAGTGCAGCGGGAAGCCAAGAGTCATTTTAGGCCTCAGAGAGATGTGATAAACATATTTAAAAGGTCATTGTGACACTGTATCAGAAAGGGGTGACAGAGAAAGTGAGCAGACCAGTTAACAGGCAAGGAAGAGAATGGTTCCTTTGGTCAAGGTGGTGGCAGCGGATAAGTATGTAAGAGGTAAAAACACCAGGGCCTGCTGCTAGATGGAAGCGAGGAGGAAGAGAAGAATCAAGGTGGAGTAGAAAATGGCAACCACCCCAGTGTTCTCGCCTGGAAAATTCACAGGCAGAGGAGCCTGGTAGGTTACAGCCTGTGGGGTGGCAGAGTCAGACACGACTGTGCACGCACACACACGAGCTTGAGTTCCTGGCTGGAGCACTTGAGATGATGGCAGTGCCTTTGACGGGTGCTGACGGCCTTAAAAAAAAAAAAAAAAAAAAACAGCTGTCCCAGCAGAAAGGAGGGCTGGGAGTGGTTTTGGAAGCTGGGTCAGTGGAGTTGTAGGAGTGAGGAATATAAGGAGTGAAAGAATAAGCAGTTCTCAGGGCCTGAAATGCAGGCTACTAAAGAAGCATGAACGATCCCAGCCAGTCCAGCTCATGCTTTTGAGGTTTGTGATCTGGTCATTTAATTTAGTTGAATTTCCCTCCAAAAATCTGTTTTTCCCCCCTCTTCCATCTGTCTTCTAGCTAGCCATAATTTGGAAATGAAATAAGCACTCTTATTACTTGTTGAATATTATCCTAATGTTTTGTTACTTCAGAATGGTAAATTTACTGGTAAAGTGAATTGCATGTAATTTAAATATATATATTATTGAACTGAACTGAGTGTTGTATTTTTCTTTGTAAAAACAACCCCCCAAGCTAAATTTTCACTGTGGTCTGCAAACCAATTTATTTGCTTAATAGAAAAATAATTTTCACTACCTCTAACCCATCATCAGCTTTTCTTTTTTACTTTGCCCGTTTCTTAACACATCCTAAGGCTAGGATAACTGTTCCTTACTTATCAAGGGATGACTTCAAGGAAGTCTTTCAAAGACTTCATCATACTTTCAAAGATGATTGTCTGCTTTTTAAAAATGTTAATGGAAGCCACCCAAATGTCCATTAATAGTTGAGTAAGTTGTGGCACAGTCATAAATGGAAAACTATATGGCAAGCAAAATAAAGCAGCCCCACCACATGGATACTTCTTACAAACGTAATGTTGAAGAAATCAGGCACATGAAGGGAATTATAGGATGGTGGTGATGCCTCTGTTGACTGAAGTGATAGTTGAATGGTATGTTCACATCATGATAAGGCATCATCTGATCCTGATGACTTAACGTTTGGTGTTTGACTTTAATAAAATAGCTTATTAAGCAAACAAGGGCCACACAAGATAGGCAAAACTGCCCTTTTTTTTTTAAGAGAAAGCTGTTTGTATGGTCATATGATCTCTTCATTTGACCCCTTCGATAAATATCAATGGTTAATACATACATAGCTTTATAGGACCATCTAAAAGAATAGGGATAAACTGAAGGATACTGTTAATTGATGTTCTTCAAAGTCTTAAGAGGCTAATTCATTTACTGATAGAACATTTTTTTTTAAGGAAAACAGAAAATTTACCCCTTAAGCTGAAAAGGGTAAGTTTTGTCCCAGTTTTTCTAGAAGGGTACACTGAAGAAAAATAAGCCACTTGTTTCAGTGTTGGAGAAGGCTAAGGCCTAAACCTGCCTTAAGCTTACTGATCTCTAATAGTTTAGATTTTAGTTTCTATCCAGGTATGCTACTTTTTCTATGAAGTTTTTATATTAAAATACCCCCCTATTCATTCCCTCTGGGCCTCATTCTTTTCATCTGTAGGGTGAGGTGGTAGGACTGAAGAATTCTTAATTTGGAACCCATGAATGGTCAGCTCTTTGAATCCCCTGAAAATGAACCAAAAGTATACCTGTGTGTAGCTGGGGAGCTATTCATAGTTTCTACCTGTTTTCACAGAGAAAACACAAAAATTCGTCAGTTTCTAGGGTCCCTTATAGCTCTGACATTCTAGGATTCGTGAAACAAGATTTTCATGTAGATATAAATTACAGGTTTTCTGTAAGACTGGTTAGCAGAGTGAATGTTTTGATCTGAATTATTAGATATTTTTAAGTCATTATTTAGTTTTGAAATTAAGTAAAATCTAAACTGTTAGATATAACTAAAACATCTTTATTTAGCGTTTAGCCCTCTTCTGTGTCACATACTACATTCCCCTCAATAGGAGATAGTCTGGAAGGAAAAGGGACAGCGTTGAGACAGGTTCAGGGTTGTCTGACAGGTGTGTACTCCCCTCGTGCCCCGTCTGGATTGGGACAAGACCGGCGGCAGCGGATGAAGCAGACAGTGACTGACAGCGTCTCAGATGTGCTTGCAGCTAAGAACTCCATGCTCAGAACAAATACTGACACCATGACGGTGGTCTGGTTCTGATGCTACAACAAAAGCTCAACGGCTGTCTTTACCTCTGTGACAGGATCACTTCCTGTCAGCAGCCCCTAAAGCCCGCCCGCCTGCTCTTGGGAGACTCTTCGGGCCTTAACACCTGAGTGCCCTTTCGTATCCCTCACTCATTTCAGGTATCAACCAACAATTTCCATAAGATACACACTCACATGGGGTGGGAATCACGGTACAAGTCTTAACTCTCATTCCAATTTCACCCTTAACTGTCTAGAATTAATATAGATTGCCCAGATTAAATAATATTCCTCAAAAACATTTCTATGTTTAAAAAATTTTTAAATATCAAAGCAAACTGGTGAAAAAGTCACTGCAACCATTTTATATGGAATGCTGTTTCAGGAGTTCTGAAATTAAGGCAAACAGTATCAAAGAAACCAGACAGTAAAAGCCACTTTTAAATGTTACATATGTTGCTTTTATTCAAAAGAATAACTGCTTGACAAACTCTTTAATCACAAAGTTTGAGCCAAACTGTCAGTCCTCTGAGACAACTCTGTGAGGTAGGTATCTGCAGGGCTCGGGGACCAACACAACCCTTTCTCGTGTTGCTTTCTTTCAGATGCTGAGAACGGTGGTCGCTGGAACCACTGTTCTGGTGGACAGTTAAGACAACTGTTTCCTCCGACCAGCTTCGCTCCCCACAGAGCTGCCCAAGTTAACATCTGCTCGTGGGGTTGGACCATCTGTTTTTGTGAAAGTTACAATATTATTGTTTATAAAAATCCAAATTGTTGCTTTGATTTGTAAGCTGTAACGCTGAATCACACAAGTACTACTATGATGTTTAAAACACTGATTGACTCTACCTGCTTTATATACTCAGACCCCCTTTACATTTATCATCAGTGATCAATGAAGGTGACATAATAAACGTCTAGAATTCTGAGATGCCAGCATGTTCCCTTTTCAACTTAGTAAGACTTCACACAGTGTTGTATGTTACAAAGTTGGTACAATACACCTCTACCAGGAAAGTTGTAGAAGGAAGTCCAGATGTTACAATAAAAGCACTGTGTCACACTTGAAGCAGAACACGTGCACAGAAAATTAAATCCTTTCAAAAATGACACGGCTGCAGCCCCACACCAAATGTGTAGTTGTTAGGAAATGCGTTTCCAGACTAGTAAATGGTGGTGTAACAAACTCCTACTCACTGCTTTTCAAGTCAGTGCCGCTGAAATGTTTCCCTATGAAATGTGCTACCCTGTGAGAAGTAGACTGTCAACTGTAGAATCAGGATTCATGTAGCTGTGATGTGTCATCTTTCTAGACCTTTCCTATTCCTATGTATGTTCCAAACATCTTCCAAAGGATCCCAGTTTGTCCCCATGTAGGAATCCTAGGCATCTGATACCAGTTCAGTCACTTACTTGTGCATGGCTTCAGACCAAAAAAAAAAACCCCTTTCATCTACATCAGGAGTTTCATCTGTGAAGAGGAAGGTAATGCCCTGCCTGCTTTCTTCACGTTAACTGTCTTGAGGGTAAAATGAAAAGTGTGCAAGAAACTGCTTTAAATACAATGCGCTGTACTTAAGGATTTTGTTTTCCTCTCTGACAAGCAGCAGCTTGGTCTTAGGCCCAATGACAAGGCACTGTTGCTGACGTATCATCCATCATTCAGCATCTCATCAGTTGATAGCGTCTGGCCTCACCTGGAGGACTGTGACTGATCTACGTTTCTCCCCGTCTGTCCACAGCGAGGCCCCCTGATGTGGGGGTGGACAAGGTGGGCAGCGGGGGACTGCAGGGGGCAGAGCTGACACTGCCCGAGCCCCGGGGATCAGAGACCACCCTGCAGTCGAGGTCACTCACGAGCAGTGCCAGCCGAGGGGCCTAAGATGTCATAACACTTGTGGTTTTGATTCTTCGCAAATAGCAAACTGCAGAGGGGAGCTTAGGTACTTAACACTGCAGTCATCCAAACACCAAGATGACTTCCGTACTCCTCTCCTTCTGCACAAGGCCTGATGAATCTGGGCGATGTCCTGCCGTCTAAGGACAGTATGACAACAGTTTTCTGACAAGAGAAAATTAACCAAATCTGTCCACCTGTGGCTACAGCCCATTGTTAATTTCTCTGTCAGATTTAAACCGTGCTCCTGGTACCTTCCGATAAGTATTCCTAGTGGCTCAGATGGTAAAGAATCATCTGCAACTCAAGAGACCCAGGTTTGATCTTTAGGCTGGGAAGATCCTCTGGAGAAGGGAATGGCTACCGACTGCAGTGTTCTTGCCTAGAGAGTCCCGTGGACAGAGGAGCCTGTTGGACTGCAGTCCACGGGGTCACGACCGAGCAACGAACACAAAGCAGGGAAGAGTAACCTCCCAAGGGCTTTGGTGCTCACAGTCATGAGCGCCGCTTTCCTGAGGAGGGCTGAGCTGCCCTGAGTCTGCAGGATCACCCAGGTTCCTGGAAAAAAAATTCCCTTTTGAAGATACTGAAACTTTTACATGCTATTCCTATAAAAGGACCAAACTCTTACAGAAATGCCGTAACAGAATATCAAGTGTGCTGACTGGAGACAAATGTCTTACAGTTTGTTAATTCTTCTGTTAAGTGTTCTGTAAACCAAGATCATGAAACCAAATTAACAAAGTTCAAGTTTCTTCTTTCACTTTCAGCTGACGACAAAGAATTATATTGGAGTGGAAAAGCAGAACTGCTTCAAATGCACAAAAGTTAGCCAGTATGCAAAGAAACACTGACTTTTCCCCAATATTGTACAATATTTTATTGTAATAAACATATTTAGGTGAGGCTCATAGCAGTATATTATCATGTAGGTACTCACTGAGAAGGATGAATCTGATAAACTTTACATCTGACAATATCTCACTAAACATTCAATTAATCTGAGTAATTTGGGGGGGGAGAGAAGATAGAAGAAAAGGAAGCATCCCATTTTATGTAATTCCATATTTTTCCACAGAGTTTATAGACAACACAGAATCAAGATACAGTTGTAAATCATTCTAATTCTAACCTTAATATTAGGATCTGCAACATGTAAAAATCCCAGTCATATATTGCTAGGTATTTGCCAAATGATAATCAAATGTTTGTCATAAAGTGGTTTTAAGCTCATTAGATAATATTCAGATACTTCACATTGCCATGGTCCTTTTGTCTGATGTCACACATCAGCTCAGATGTTTTAGTAAACTCATGTTTTTTCATCTGTTCAGTCTCTGTGTTATTACTTCTCGATACATAATAGAGATGTAGATGAGCAACAAAAAGATGACAAAGAAATCATCGAGAAAGCCGAGAATTCCAAACAAGGCTTCAGGTACAAAATCTAGAGGTGATATAAGATAGAAAAACGCTCCCATCAAACAAAGTATTATCCTGATACGGAACATCCAGAAAAGGCCCCCGACTGAAAACATCTCTCTGAATGCATGCCTCAGTAAAGTGGGGAGGTCCATAATTCTTTCCATAATCTGGCAGAAGAAGAACAAATATTATGATTTGGTATCGAACGTGTCAGACTTCAAAATAATACAATTTTCTTAATACATGCAGTTATTAACATAAATGAAGGAGTTTCACATACTGACAGAACACCGTATTATCTACTTTTTTATTTAAAAAATAGTTCTCTGATTACTAGGTTTTTATAAAACAGGTCTTATTACAGATAACTGAAAAGCAACTAAAGTGTCAACAAACTTAAAATACAGGATATAGTATTAATAATACAAAATCAAGTTCTCTCTACTTTGAGCTAGTAAAGTAAACCAACGAAGAACCTGTGTGTAGTTTTAAGCTGAGGCTTGAGCTCAAGTCTGAACTTTAAGGTTGGACAGATCTGGGTTTGAATTCAAAGTCAATCCCTTATTAGCCAGGTGACCTTGGGGAAAGTGGTTTAACCTACTTGAGGTAAGTCAGCATCTAACTGGGTATACGCCACAAGGAATATTAAGAACTAGAAAAGATATTGTTATAAAAGACCTTTATAAATTGCCAGACAATATATATAGAACATATATATATATTATATAAATACACAGACACATCAACTTGGATGGCTTTGACCATCTATGAGTATCAGTGAAACTGATTTCCTTATGTTTATTCTGTTGAACTTGAGTTTAAGTGAATTACTAATTGCCACAATGATTTTTGGAATGCCAGGCCTTACCCTTTCTGGAAGTGATTATTTTTCTGAATATATACAGACTAATAATTAGATTATATTTACTATGTAAATATAACTGAAAACCACTGAATTATACAATTGAAACAGGTATACTTTATGGCATGTAAATCACATGCAAATACAGTTGTTCAAAAAAGAAAAGAACCCGTGCCTATTTGTATGACCTTGAGCAAGTCAGCTGACTGTCTGACTGCAGACGTGTCACTTGCTCCGTGCAGCTTCTGGCTGACTGTGACCGTAAGGTCCTGTGTGGTAATGCAGCACTCTTCAGTCACGTCCTTGAGGTCTCATTTCTGAGGGGCTGGGAGATGCAAGAGAAACTGGCCAGGGGAAGCACGTCATTTCCTGTGGTCATTCCACTGCCCAGAGTCCACCTACTGCTAACCATCTGTATAAAATCATAGACCCAACAGTCTGTATTTTATTTGTCTAACAAGTGCCGTCTAAATTGAGAGGGAAATGGAGATGAAAATGGGGAGAACTGAGCAAGAGATGAGAGAACAGTTTTAAAAACCCCACTAGATAAAGAAAATCTTATAACTCCTTTTGGAAAACTGGTCCCAAAAGAACAAGAATGGTCCTTTTAGAATCACTTCCTATGTCAATTTTCTGTTGACATATGTCACTTCCTATGTCAATTAGTGGAAGAAACTAATATTTAAAGCAAAACAACTATACAGCTTTCACAAGGTCTATGGTAAATTATTTCAAATATTCTAATAACCAGCTGATACATCCTTTGAATACATCTCTGTCCGTTACCAGAGCTATTTTGTTCAGTTCTCATACCATATCATTTACACAAAATCTGTAGTGATTAGACAAGAAAATATGAAATGGGCCATCAAGAAATATTTGTATATTAATCACAGTATGACTCCAACTCTGAGGTAGAATACCAAACTAAGAGCTAAATGACTTTATTAAATTGTAATTTCATCACACACCAAGCTTTGTCACTCATTGAGTATATATCTGACACACAGAAAATAATTGAGCGATGGTATGCTTCACACTTAAAAATATCGATGAATACCTTTAAATGAATTTTTTTAACCTCAGTGGCAGTTCCTGAATTTGAAACACTGATTTTCAAAGAATCGTCCTAAGATGCCTCTGGAGGATATGTAAGAAAACTGCTGGATAAGAAACAGCAGAAGAGGCTCCCAAATACCCAAGGAGGACAGTAGCGACCTGGTCAAGCTTTCCTTGCCGCTTAGATGTCTGAAAGACTCGCCCATCACCATCCACAACAGGCAAACTGTGTGTATGCCTTTATATGTACCTGCCATCACAAATGAGGAACAGTACATACGTGGGAGCACAAGTCTACACAGGTGTTTAATACAGAGGTGTAGTATCACTTCTATCTTAAGGATAACTGTAAGTTATATGCTAGACAGCATATTAAAAAGCAGAGACATTACTTTGCCAACAAAGGTCCGTCTAGTCAATGTAATGAACAAGGTCGGAGGGCGATGACAGAGACCACCCTGGTTGATCAGGGACAGTCTCTCCGAGGAAGGTCTGTTTAGGGATGACCCAGAGGATGAGAAGTCAGCC